TTTGCCAATTAGATAGAAAAAACAAATATGTAAAAATTAAAAAAGGTTTTTTCTAGTTTGGATTTGCATTTTCTTTCTTTCCAAGAATACTTCCATATATATATTCTCCACTTTCTTTTGTGCATCACATTTTCATGTTCTTTGTTTATGACATGGACACTTTAGGAATTTGGAAAATTTCTTCATGTATTAAGAACGCTAAACATTATCATGCACTGCAAACATGTATCCTCATTTGCTTGTTTTATAAAACTGTTTTAAAACCCTGGCCACTCCTACTATCATCATTTTCTGCTTCCCAGAATCAGCCACTTTCAACCCCTTTAGCTGATTCTTTTAGTAATTATGTCCATATCTCTAAATAACATGCTTCTGTTGCTATTTATTGATTTTTTTTTGTTTTGGTTTTAGGCAACATTTATTGATTTCACGCAATGGAAATTTTACATCATTTCAAGCTATACCATTTAGAAGTGGTATATTCTATTTCTATTCCTTAAGGTTAGGCTGAAGAACTTTATAATGCATCATTGACACAATTTAAAGTTACCTCTCTCCTACAACATGATTCTAATCATCCTCTCCCAATTTATGTGCTCTTGTTTTCAAGGATTTGCTCTATCTTGTTTTATTAATCCCACAAATGAAAAGTTAATTTATAAATCCAATATCGCTTTAGATTTATGCACATATTTACTATTTTCTTTGCTCATCATTTCTTCTTGTATCTTATTATAGCTTTCATCTAGGATTGTTTTTCTTCTGCATGAAATAAATTCTCCATAATTTCTTTTAATGGACATGGTTGATGAACTCAAATTTGACTGCGATGTTTCTATTTTGAAATATAATCTCAAGATGCTTTTCAAAGACAGCTTTGTGGAGTATTCGACACTAGTTTTTTCTCTCTCAACACACTGAAAATATTTATTCACCATTTTTTGGCTTCCATGGTTGCTGTTGAAAAATCAGCAGTTAGACTATCAACTTCTGCACATGATTTGTCATTTTTTTCCTCTGGTAGGTTTTAAGACTTAGTGGGTTTTTTTCTGTGATTTTCTGCAGTTTGACTATAATAGGAGTTTATATTTCCTATTAATTTGGCTTCCTAGGTTTTGTTGGGCTTCTTTACTCTGAGGGTTCATACATTTCATTAGTTCTGTAAAATTCTCAGCCATTACCTTTGAATATTGTTTTTTTCTCCTTTAGCTCTCTTGTCCTGGAACCCCAGTGAGAGATATGCTGGACTTTCTCACTCTGTCTTCCTTGTAGATTCCCCTCTGTCATGTGTGTTGCTTTTTTATGTCACCTGGGCATCCTCTTCTTTACTGTCTTGTAATTCTTAACTTTCTTCACAGTTGTATCTAATCCACTGTTGAGTTTCCTAATTTTAGTTATTATGTTTTTCATTTCTAGAATTTCCATTTAGACTTTTTAAAAATGTCTTTGGACATTACTTATAGTCCATTTTCTCTCGTTTTTTCACTTCTTATTTATTTTCATGTAGTTTTATATACTTATATTTTTTGTCTGATAATTCTAGTATGTGAAGTCTTTGCTTGTCTAATTTGCTGACTTTTGTCCATGGGTGCTTTTTTCCCCTTGTATATTTTGTAATTTTTTGAGCTCTTATTTCTGCCAAGTTCTCGAGGGCACTATATATCAGGACCACTGTTCCCTCCATTAACAGGATCTCTGTGTGTGTTGGAGATGGAATTTAAATACCATGAATTTTGCCCTTTTGAAGTACGTAATTCAGTGGTTTTTAGTATAGTCACAAGGTTCAAGACCACCTTTAAGCACAGGCTTCGTTTGAGGTATAATCAGCATAGGTATTGTGAGTTTGTGCTGCATATGCACATGAGGGCCAGCTTTGTGGTTACAAATCCTTGGGTGAGATGTCTTTTTCTTTCACCTAAAATCAAGATTGAAGGTCCTTGCTGTTTTTCTTGCTGTTTCCTTCCACAGGGCAGGTTGGTTTCTATTTGCCTGACACCTAAGGTATTGCCCTGGCCCTAGGAGCTTCCTCTCAGACTCCCTCCTTGAGAGTTTTGTCTCCTGTCTCTTGTATCCTTCTAGCTGTCAGAACAGAATTTCAAGGTCACAAATGTTGAGCAGGTGCCTCAGGGAAGCTACTAGCTTCAGAGTTAGCTCAACCCCTCAATTCTAGCTCTTGCCTCATTTTTGGCCTCAGAAGATTTGATTCTTTACTTACTTGTCAACTCAGCAATACATGTAGAAATCTTTTTGAAAAATATTTTATTCAGCATCTTTTTTACTGGCATGGTTATTTGGGATACCACAGGACTGTCATCTGTGTTTTAGTTTGGCTTATAGTGTGCATTTTGCTCTTGTTCCATCTTTTGTCAGCCCTCTAGGGAGAGAGTGTGTTCAGTGCTCGCTGCACACTGTTTCATGCAGCCATTCTCTTCCTTTTGGAGCCTGCAGTGAAATTCCTTAACTTGACTGGGGTCTGGGACTTCCACTCCTTATCCCTGAAGAAGGGGACACTGCTGCTTCCTCAGAGGCCCAAACATATAAGTCTCACATTCGCCTTAGGGCATACTAGGGCTAAATTCATTGCCTTACCTTTGCTTACGGCTTGCCAGCCTTGGGGCATAGAGTTTGAGTCCCTCTGTCTCCCCACAATCACTTTTTTCTGGCTTCTTTTGAGAATCATCTCTCTCATTATGCCAAGACGATAGAGAAAGCATCCTCAAACCCTTTCACGTCCTCTTGGGAGGCCAGCAACTCAGATAGGAAGAACGAAGGGAACATGTCCTGCGGGTGGCTCCTATTCACAACCCCAGAGTCTCAAGTTCAATTTAGTGACTTTGCATCTGCTCCTGGAAACATTTCTCCACATCCCATTTCTGGGTAAGTTTGTGCCCTGCCTGTCTGGGGCTGGGCCCCAGACGAGCCCAGATGCCTGGACAACTTCCCTCCCCCTTCAGGAAGCTTCTGCTAATTATCACTGACAGGAAACAAAATAGGACATGAATACAGTAATCTCAAGGGATTGGCGGAGGAAATGATTCCCTTAGGAAAGTTTGTTAGAATCTCTTATGGAAGTTTTTATAATCACCACCCTCCCAACCCCACTGCTTCTGCTAGGAGTGGTCCAGAGTGGGGAAAATGCTGAGAATGATTGATTTAGAATTGCACTGTCCAATATGGTAGCCACTAGCCACACATAGCTACTGTGCTCTTAAAGCATGACTAGTAAAATAGTCACTGGGTTTCAAAGGTTTAATACAAAAATGCAAAAAACCTCAATAATTTTTATATTAATTAGATATTGCAATGGTACTATTTATTTTAATCCTTACCTGAGGATATGTTTATTGATTAGTTGATTGAGAAAGAGAAATATCAATGTGAGAGAGAAACATTGATTGGTTGCCTCCCATACATGCCCAAACTAGGATCAAACTCACAACCCAGGTAGGTGCCTTGATCAGGAATCAAGCCTGCAACCTTTTGATGTACAGGATAATACTCCACCCAACTGAGCCACCCCACCAGGGCACAATTCTGGATAAGTCAGATTAAATAAAATATTTATTAAAATTAATTCCACCTGTCATTTTTCACTTTTTAAAATGCAGCTACTAGAAAATTTGAAGTCACATGTGCGACATGCCTTCTTGAGTTGGATTTGGACGTCCCACCCACCTGCCCAACTCTGAACCCCCTGCCTTTACAAGTGACTGTGATATTACGGGAGGATTTTCTCTGTGCTCAATTTTACCCTCAACTTTAACTTCATGCTCACAACGTTTTTAACTAATGTCCTCTTTGTAATCATTTTGGGCGATACGGAAGTAAATGATCACTTCAAATTTTTTCTAATATAAATACATTCCTAATTTATAAACGTCAAGTAACCTTCCTTACTAACAAGCAACATTTCACAGTACCTCTGAACTGGAAATAAAGGGAAACAGGAGGATTTGCTCTAACGCTCCTCTTCAGCACTTTATCTTCCAGCTGAGCACAGCCGAGAGCTGAGGGGCTTGGGCTTCGAGCAGGCTGCTTGGTGGCTTGGCCAAGGAATGTGGCCTCCCTGAGCCTCCTTTGCATTCCAGGCCAGGTGGGGAGAACAAGAGCACCTACCTCCAACGAGTGCAAGGTTTAAATGAATGAGTGCATGTTAAGCGCTTACATCAGTGTTTGGCACATTCACACATGATAGCCTTGATCACTATTTTTAACAAAACGAAATCATACTCTTTTATCCTGAAGCCTGTTGTTTTAACTCAATGGTACCTATAGACTATCTTTGTTTTATTTTATAACATACTTTTAATGTCATAGTATTCTTTCATATAGATATATTGCAACTGGTTTAATTGACCTGCTATCGGAATTTTAGGTCCTTTCTTTCTTCCTTTCTTTCCTCCCTCTCTTCCCTCCCCTTCTCTGTCACTTTTTTCTTTCTTGCTTGCTCTCTTCCTATGAAGTTACTACATCAAACCTATTTACATTAATAAAGTTTTGGCAATATTGCCAAATCCTTCACATATTTTTCCGGAACTGTTCATGTCCCACCTCCCGCCTGCAAGAGTAGGAGTCAGGATTAAGAGCTGCCGGCTTTTCCCCACCACCGTTGTGAAGGCACAGTTCACAGCCTTAGTGCTGAGGAAGAGCCTCCTTTCCTCCATTCACACGTGGCCTCCATTCCCCATGCCCCGCTCTGAGCCTGCCCAGGTGGCAGAGGTTCAAGTCCTCTTCCCAGAGTCCCATGTTGAGCTGTATCAGTTTTCATCATTTATTCCACTTATGGTAAAATGTAATCCTATATACCATTGTTGCTTTATAATTTCTTCCACTGGATTGATTGTAAGAGTAATTACTGTGGGGTGGAAAAAGAAAGGTGAAATCATTCTACTTGAATCCACTTCTTATGGACAAAGCTATTCATGGCGGTGTTTCTGAAGGGTTATTTCTCATTTCAGAAGCCAGCGCATTCTTACCCATATGTTTTCCGATCGTTTCAGCTACTGTAAGGAACCACTGGCCAGAAAGCAACACTGAGCCCCAGGCGGAAGACATCACCTTTGATCAGAATCAAACAGACTTCTCTTCCGCAGTGGCCTCCAAAGGCCACGGGACGGTTCAGGCCCCCGGCAGGAGCCACGCTCCTTTAGATGCTCCTGAAAACTTTACTTCACAAACTGCAACAGCAGGTGCTGGAGCAAGAAACAACTCCTTGAGAACAAATGTCACAACTTTCCCCATTGGGCCTGAGAGAGCAACAGCTGTGACTTCCCAGAGCCGCACCTTAGGTGAGTTAGGGCTGATGACGCTCATTTCATTTATGTATATCCAGTCCTGGAAAAGACAGATGCTGCCAGTCTCCCTGTCCCATCCAGAGCCTCGGTACCATCCCAGGGTCCTGGGCCCCTGGGGATCAGGCCTGTGACTTAGGCTCTAACTGTGGCACTCTGCGGTTAACTGGGTTATAAGTATAAACAAGACAAGGGTGCAGACTTGCTGAGGGCCTGTCCAATCCCATAGAATCTATATTCTATTGTCAATCTGAATCTAAACGGCATCCGGGGATCCTGACACACACTGCAAATATCAGAGGTACCAGGTGTGGTGGGATGTGTGGCTGCGTGTTTGTGTTGATGTGGCGCAGATGGATGTTCTTGCTTTAGTCTGCACAGCTGGTCCTCTGCCATTTTTAGCAAAGGATATCAAGATGGGGCTGGGGCTGCATGAACACGATTTGACTGAGGAAGGGAAGACAGAAGACTAGTGTTAAGTCCTTACTACATACCAACCTGTCTAGTCTCTCAGTTCTCGCAGTAAGCCAATGAAATCACATTATTGTCATCATAGGAATTTGGAAATTGAAGCTCAGAGAAGTCAACTCACAGCTAACAGGTTTCAGAGCTGGGATTTGAGCCTGAATCTGTGTATCTGAGGTGGAAGGATGGCTGAGGAGTGGATGCCTGGACCTTGGGAGTGCAGGAGAGAAGCGTGGGCTTTCTGTGGGGCAGCCCATGGGGGAGGGTGTAAGTCACAAACAGGAGAGGAGCAGTGGGCAGGATGGCTGTGTGAATGGCGTCAGGGGCAATCATGGAGGACGTTAAAAGGCTGGCAGTTTAGATCTGGTATAGTGGCAAGAGTCACTGAAGGTTTTTGAACCAGGCAGTGGCAGGATTAGAGTGAGTTTGGGGAAGATTCACCTGGCAGACAGGTATAAGAGGTCTGGGGAGAGAGAAGGGTTGAAGGGAACCTGGAGTCAGGGGGACCACCCAGACAGACACAGAAATACAGACACCAGGGGCTAAAATGGGGCCTGGTGGCCTTAAGGATGGTGAGGAAGGGATTGATGGAGACTCTTCACAAAGGAAAATCAGCAGGACTTGGTCGTGGCCTAACGGTGAACGAATCCATCAAAGATGTCCCCACACTTGTACAGCCTAGTGACAGGAGGTCTGTTTGGAGCACTCAATTCTGTAAAGAGTGCATATGAGGGTATTTTGTGTTTCATTTACGAGTAATGGAGTTAGAGCTTAGAACCTCTGCACAGAATGATGCTTGGGTTTGCTGGGCATCCAGGTATTGGGAATTTTGTTTATGCTGAATTCCAGTAAATTCTTAAACCAACTTAGTGGAATGTGGATGATGAGTCATGCTGATCAGAAGCCAGTCTCTCGTTCCATAACATCTAATACTTAGCTTCACTGTGCTCATTCTCTGATAATTTTGCCACAAGATGCAAAGTCTTCGTCTGTGAGATCTAGACAGTCTTTGTCTTAGTTTGTGGTCTCTTGTTCAGGGCTTAGCTTTCCATAGAATAAGTAATTGCTCCTGACTTCTTCTCACGCCTGTATATGTTATAGAGGTCAGAGCTCGTTCATATAGGTCAGGGCTCCCCCAGCCAGGGGCCAAAGAGAATATTGGCAATCCTGTCCACTTTTTCTCTGAGGTTTTATTTCTAGTTGGTGAACGTTGCATCTGTTTTCATCCCCATGACAGAGAGAGAAGGACAGAGAGGGTTAGACATATGCTTGGGAAATAGAAGTTAGGTTGCTTTAGAAATTGCCACTTCAAAATTGTTAAAGGTCAGAGGTTTTTCAAAGTACTTTGCAAGACTAGGGGTTTGGGTTTATGTCATCAGCCCACTTAAAGATCACTCAGATATTTGGAGGTCTCCTGGTGGAACCTGAATTGTTGCTGTCTGCTTTCAGCCTTGGGAAGGCCTGCCCTGCCATCCAGCAGTACAGGGTTGGAGGGAAGAAGTGCCCCTTCTCACACAGACAGCAGGACATCCTGGCGTTCCCTGGCCAGAGGAAAGGGGTTCCCCGAAGAAGTGATGATGCACGTCCAGGTGGCCACTTCGGTTTTGAGCCAGTCCCCTCTCCCTGATTTGGAGATGGGAGAAGAGACCACACTCTCCAGGAAGAGAAATTCCTCCGAACCAGAGCTCTCCGGGCTGCATTTCTCCGGTACATCGGCTTACTCACCTCCCTCAGATCATTCTGCTAGTGAGTACCCCTGTCCCAGCCTAACACTCTGACGTCATTCAGAACAGAAATAAATAGACATGTATAGCTAGACATACTTGTCACATGGGCTAGGGGAAAAAGACAGTAAGCACAAATGCAAAGTATTTGGGGTAAAAATACAACCCACACAATTTATCTCATATTGAAGTTCATCTTTAGAATATGTTTTGTTTGCCCTGGCCAGGTGGCTCAATCGTTTGGAGCACTGTCCCATACACCAAAAGGTTGCAGGTTTGATTCCCAGTCAGGGCACATACCTACATTGTAGGTTCGATCTTCAGTTGGGGAGCGTACAGAAGGCAACCAATCCATGTTTCTTGCCCCACCCTCTCTAAAATCAATCAATAAATTTTTTTTTAAAAAGATACATTTTCTTTAACTGTATAAAGAGGAAGATAATAGCTGGTCTGGTGGCTGCTCTAGAGCTTTCTGTCCACCAACCCCTGGTCTTCCCTTTTTTCCCTACATACACACGCATAGACACACAACAAACATTAAGTGTTATTGGTTTGAATTCTTGCACAAGAAGCCACATGCTGGGGTGAATGAAATGGTGAGCATTGTATCATTTGATTAGGAGTTAGGTTTATATTTCTTCACTATTGCAAAAGTTTGTTTTAATGGCAAAGATAAAGTGCATTTTTCTAAGCATCATTTAAAAAAAAAAAAATCATGTAATACCGGTATTTGCAAGGCTACAGAAGTGGAGCACTCGCTTCTCTGTCATTCCAATCCCTAGCTGTCAGTTAAGTCTTGCTCAGACATTTCATTCCATCTCTGCGAGGTGTTTCTTCAGCACTCAGAGCCTCTGTGTCATATACCCTATCATACTAGGTTACCTAATGTCTGTCTGCCCAGGTGAATTGTATGTCTTTTGAGGGCATAGGCTGTGTCTATTACTTCTCCGAGGCTTCCCACTGTGCCGGAACAAGGTACAGTTGATTAGTAATGGGGATAGCATGTTCCCAGATATCACAAGGCTCCCCCAGCCAGGGGCCAAAGAGAATATTGGCAATCCTGTCCACTTTTTCTCTGAGGTTTTATTTCTAGTTGGTGAACGTTGCATCTGTTTTCATCCCCATGCCAGAGGGAGAAGGACAGAGAGGGTTAGACATATTCTTGGGAAATAGAAGTTAGGTTGCTTTAGAAATTGCCACTCCAAAATTGTTAAAGGTCAGAGGTTTTTCAAAGTACTTTGCAAGACTAGAGGTTTGGGTTTATGTCATCAAAGCAGAAACGGAATCCAGAGGTCCTCTCTGTAATGCCTATTTAAAACCACCAGTTCCTCATCCATATATTCTGTACACTGCTTCCTGCTGGCTGAGTGTGTGTATAATTTATGATTCGTGTTCTTCAGAGATTGCTTTTTAAGATTATTCTTAAACATTGGTTAGATCAGATAAGAGCTGATCCTTTCCAGCTTCAAAGGTCTGTGGTTCAGTGATTTACTACCAGCTTTACTAAATGGTGGAAAGGAAGCATTTTCTAAGCTACGCTTTGGTTCTGGTCAGGGTCATTCAATATTTATCATTTAAATTCAACCCACTACTGTGCTATATTTGAAAATCACCTATGTTTCTAATTTTACTGCACTTGACTCAGTAGTCCCCTATATTTTCAACATTAAAAAAAATTAGTCCTCAAATTCCTTGAGCATTCATCACTTCAGAACCTTACGCTTTTTCCAAAAAGATTCTATTTATTTATTTTGAGAGAGAGGGGAAAAGAGGAAGAAAGAGAACAACATCGATCAGTTGCTTCTCGTACATGCCCCCCGCAACCCAGGCACAGGCCCTGACTGGGAACCAGACCGAAGGCCTTTCATTTTGCAGGATCACACCCAGCCAACTGAGTCACCCAGGTCATAGCAAAACTCTATACTTTTAATTTTAAAGAATAGTACCCTATCCTTCCAATTCTTGAGTCTTTCACTGAGAACTTTGCTTCCTTCTCTGCGACCTATGTGTTCTGTGCTAAGTAGAGTCCCGCCTCCTTCTAGAAGCTGAAGAGGGCTTTGGCTGCTATTCAGTGAGGGGATAGCCAGGCATCCAGGAAGTCTGGATCCAGCCTCCAGCCTCCTCACCTCCCTGTGAGGGTGCAGAGGGGACATGCACAAAGACCTGAAGCCAACCGGAAAGCAAAGTCCTGCTTCATTTTTAAGGCTGGGCTAGTACCCCCTAACCTGCTAACCCGAGCTCTGGTATACCTCCTTCCTCCCATTAAATCTACATCTTGAGATTTTACTGACCCTTTCTGGCCACAGGATCCGGGAGCTGGCAGGGCTTGTTAGAGGCAGGCCGGAATCGCCCAGCCCTGCTGGCCCATCTGTACAACAGAGTGAAGAGGTGGTGTGGCGGGGGCGTATGTCTTTGACACTTGGCCACTCCATACACTAATAAGTGTGACTCAGTGAGAGCCCTGGCTCTTAGATTGTTCAGAGGAGCGGCGCTCCTCACCAGGTGATCGCTGGGTGGCCCACCAGGAGCCGGACCCAGGGAGAGTGGGGCTCCTTATTTGAAACATGAAAGGATTAGATCAAATGATCCTAAAGATTCTTCCTAGTTCCAGCATCTGTTACTCCAAACACACCAGCCTTTGTATTCTGTGCTTCCTTTCACCCCTCGCCCTGTTGCACAGAAACAGCCGTGCAGCACAACCTCTCCTGTGGCTCGGGGAGCCAGCTGTTAACCACTTCCAAAAAGAAGTAGTATGCCAGCCAATGTATGTTTGAAAGCAGGTGTGGGCCCAGAGAGCTAAATAAGATTTAAAAAAGAGATTGGAAGCCATTTGAAATTATTTTTCTTGCTGCTTTGTATCTTTCTCTACTTTCCATAATGATCATGTATTATTTGATCATAAGGGGGAAAAAGTAAGTAAAGCAACCGACAGGGAAAAAAGTTCTCTTTTGAAGGTGAAAAGAGATATGTGTATGTTGAATTGTGCGAGAGTAGCTACAGTTGAGCCCTAAATTTACTACTGAGCTTCCTGGAAACCAGGGCACAAAGGGAAACCGGGTGGGGCATGAGATTGTTGTCTGATAAGATAAGCATACAGTTCCATCCATGGGCCTAAGTGTTTTGGGGGCAGTACATTCTAAGAGGACTATTTATACAGGGAAATTTGAGAATTATAATAGAAAATGCCATCAATTGCTGTTTTGTGCAAATGCTAATGTTCTTTAAAAGGTGATATTTTATGTAGATTCTGAATTGGAGCTGAGGATGTAATACTGGATCTCAACTCACGATGCCATTTCTGTGGGGAGCTGAGCTAATGTGGTCCAGGCAAATGGCTTTGTGGTGATTTTACTTTGTAAAGGAAGAGAGCATAAATAACTCAGAAGATTGTAGATTTAGCGTATCTTTCGCAAATATCAGCTGCTTCAGCTACAGTTTTGGCAGGTTTGGGTAGCAGTCAAGCCAAGGTTGAGCATTCTGATGCGTGCCTGAAGCGCCGTGCCTGCACTGTGACTGGAGACTGACCCATGTACGTTACCAGAGGAGTAGTCATTCTTTCTACCTCCTACACTGGAATCAGGGAACTTCGCTTGTTTCTGCTTCCAAATGGGTGGTCTTCCCATTTTTGCATTGCTGCTTTAAAGGTAGAAATGAAGGAAGAGCAACTCTTAACTAATCAGTACAGCTGGCCTGTTCATTGGAAACATGGTAAATTTCTCTTACGTGTAGTGAACAGGTGCTCATTTAGTGATGTAAGTGCTGATTGTACTTACATTCTGTTTTTTGATTAAGAGGCACTGGCTCTGCAGAAGTCCTCACACTGCTTCAGAACTTTACTGTGAGGACTGAGTGAGATTATGTACACAGAGTACTTACTTGGCACAATGTAGAAAGCTGCATGTATAGTACTGGCATATCGTAACTGGTCAGTAAATGGCAGCTTTTAATAATGATGATAATGAGTTGATGAAGTAAATGTTCCACAGAGCCCTAAGGGTCAGGGAAAACACAGCCACTTTCTTTTTGTGATTGCCAGCATCTGTGACTTCTGTAATTGTATTTCTGTGGCCATTGATTTGCTAGAAGGTATTCAGGCTGAGTCCATTGTAACTACCATGGTCCATTGGATGGATGAAATAACACCATTTACTGGGAATAAAAGTGCTTTGAAAGAGCACTGAGCAACCCGATGATGCTGTAACTTGGTGCAGTTAGACTGTAACTGTAATGAAGTTAGGCCTGAGAAGCTAAGTGGTTGAGTGAGGATTTGGGATGTATCTATAGTAAGCTTTTCTTTTTTTATATTAACGTGTTTTTGTTTTGGGGGGTTTTTTTTTTGTTTTGATTTTTAAATGAAGGATGCCATTTATTTACTTAAATACATTTATTGATTTTAGAGAGAGAGGATTGAGGGGGGGAGAGAGAAACATTGATGTGAGAGAGAAACATCAATCAATTGCCTTCTGTATGCACCCTGACTGGGGACCAAACCCTCAACCTAGGTGTGTGTCCTAACTGGGAATTGGAACCACAACCCTTCAGTGTACAAGATGATGCTCCCACCGACTGAGCCACACTGGCCAGGGCAATGCATTTTTGTTTATAAGTAGCGATGGGTTTAGGTAAGCTGGGACTGAATTTTTGTGCCTGGGTCTTTTCTCTTGTTCTAATTGCTAGTTGTATGGATCACCTACATCTTCATTTTGTCTTCATTAAGGCCCCGTGAACAGAGCTGCCAGCCATGTTCGGGCATAGTTGGTTCTATGGTTTGTACACAATTAAAAGGGACCTTTGTGTTTCCTGTGCTCTTTTTCTAATTATACATAATACTTATTTGTGATTTTGGTCAGAGCTATACATAGGACAGGTCTTCAAGGAACCGTCTATAATGAGAACTTCCTTCTTCCCTTTCTGGGTCATCATTAACAGTTTGAAACCTTTCATTATAAGGTATAGAGTCCTTTTTTTTTTATTTTTGGCTTAAAAAGAAAAATAACACTCTTTTTCCTTGCCTTTGGATCTTGCCTGCCATGTTTCTTCCCACTCATTGAGCTTTCCTGCAGATCACTGCTGTTCAGGGTGAGGATTTCAGTGTGCGCTCCTAGGTCTGTGCTCAGGGCGTCCTTCACAAAGTTCTTTGTGAAAGGGAGCTACGAGCAAGCCACCCGTCCTCTTGTGCAGCAGGTTGTGCATTTTAAATAATGGTGTAAAATTCAGTTCTTAGAGGTTCTTGATAATTAATCCAGTCTCTGCCCATCCATTTCATCAGAAAAACTGTTCCCATCCTGGAGTCCTGGATCTGCTAAGGGCCCAGTGGAGTAGAATGTAAGCTTGGGAGCTGGCCTCCAAAACCTACAGAGGCAAAGTACAATAATGGGGCCCATTTGCTTTCAGCTGGAATTAAATCAAATCAGTGGGGTAACAATGACTATCTCCTGCTGATTGGAAGCTCTGTTACTTAATAATTGCATTTCAGTCAATAGTCTTTTCAGACAGAAGGTTTATGGTGGCCATGAGGAAGGAAGTAACAAAGAACCCTTGAAGATGACAAGGCTGGGAATCGTTATTCTGGGTGGGTGTTGTTCCTACTGCGCAGAGCCCTGGGCCTCCTCATGGGTAACCTGGGAGCGGGGTATCCCAGTATGGCCTCGCTTTTATTCATTTTTATGTATGGCTTTTCCTCTGTAATGGCACCTGAACAGAAGGTTACAACGGCTAAAATAAAACAAACAAAAACCTGTCCAATATCACAATGGCCTGTCCTATATAAGCTATAAGGTGAATTCAGGAGTAAAAGTTTCACCTCCCTCTATAAAAACCAAGGCAAATAATGTGTAGAAGCTTTCTCTGTCATTCTCTAATATTTCTTTTACTTTGAGCAGAAGCTTTTCATTGTGTTTGGTGAAGGACGTCACCGCTTGTCCACTTAGCTCTATGAGAATTAGAGCAAGGGAGGAGAGAGTTGGTGAGTGTGTCAAATGGGTTTATATTAGGTCCACATTATCTAGATTTACCCGCCAAAATGTATCAGATATTATTTGTATCTAGATGCATCCCTGATTTTCTTAAACTCCTCAGTTAGTCTTGAGCATTTTTTCTTTTTTTCTGTTTCAGCATCTGAAATTTTGGAGGAGCTAAGCAACTCCACTGCTCTCCAAAGCCCCTTCATCAGCAGGACGAAGAGTATGCATGTTGCCACCACAGTCCCCAGTGGTGACCCTCGGGTAATCCAGTCTTCACCGGTCAGTCTGGGGCTGCTAAATGAAACAGAGAGTTTCCCTGAGGACACTGAAATTACCACAACTTTAGCATCAGTCTATTCTTCACCGTCTGATGCAGAATTGAGAAGAAACACTGGGCTGATCAGGAATCCAGGGCACGGGGAATTCACCGAGTCATCCACAGAAAATGGATTTGGCCTTTCATCTTCCGAGGGCTCGGTGGGATTTTGGCAAAATGATTCCCCAAGTAAGTATTCAATTTTGCCTGATCCATTATGGATATTTAAAAATTGTTGGATTTTTTCGAGGGTGGCTTCAAGGTGATTTGCAGTCTCTAAGAAAAAGAGTGTCCTTGGATAACACCATCCCCTTTATCTACTATGTCACATTACCACATTTCGATTTTCGTCCTTATGAAAACACTGTGAAGTTCGTCTGACAGGCATCGTTCCTCCTGCTTTTTCTGTAGATGAGGAAGGAAATGAAGGGTCAGAGGACTTAAGCAGCACTGAGAGACCTCAGCCCCCCCCCGAGCCCTCACTGTTGATTGACTCTTGTCCCAGCAGCATTGTCTTCAAAACGAGACCTGTCCTGCTCTCACTTTGTAAAACTAGTTGGTTATTTTATAGATCATCTTTAAAACTATAATGTGCAGATACAAATACATTCCCTGAATTCATAGTTTTAATGTACTCCCCAGAGTTTATTTTTTGTTTGCTATACTTCAAAATTAGAATAATCTGTATTAATAATAGAACTGCTTTAGAAAAACTGCTCTGACCAAGCACTATATTTGGTATGTTGTATTTGTTGGACATAACACCATTCCTCCCTTGACCCCTTTTGGGGAAAGAGAATAAAATACTCAAGCCTATTAATTACTCTGCTGCTTTGTTCATGCTGTTTAAAAGCTCCTCTCTTCAACGTTTACTCTTAGTATTGCTATCTTATTGACACTGAAAAATTTAGAATTAATTATTTAGAATATGAAAATGCATGTCAGGTTACACATGCAATGCGTTCTATGCAAGGTCATGGGAAAGGAGATCTTTGCTTAGAGAGGACTCACATGTCAGTTGTGGAGGGGTCTCTTTCACATCCATGTAATGGCAGTTTTTTTCCCTGACACCTTACAGTCTCGGCCAGCAGCCCTGATACAGAAAATGGAAGCCCCATGCCTCAGACTGAGACTGTGCCTGGGTCAGTCCCACTGGGCAGAGCTGGAGGGACCACTGCACTCTGGGCCTTGACCAATAGCAAGACGTCCGTAGACAGGACAGGAAGCTCTACTTCCTATCCTGAAGTTGTGAACACTTCGGTTTTGACCCAGTCCTCAGCCTCCGCTCCACAGTCTAGAGGAAGTGACACAGCGCTGGATGAGAAGAGTTACTCTGAGCCAGACACTGAGGCTTTGTCCTCTTCCTCCTCAGAAAGCCTGGAGTCCTCAGCACCACGTGGGGAACGCTCGAGTGAGTTTCTGCTTCAGAGAACTGCCTTTGTGGAGGGGACAAGGACTTACCAGGCTTACGATCTTCTGTAGCATAGTAAGGCCATGTGTCAGTGAAATAGTTCCATAGTCTCCTCTAGTTTCATTATTCCCAGGCCATTCTTCTAGCCGGTGGATACAGATATACCAATATGTCCCCAAATTTTTTCTGGTACCTCTCCACAGAGTTGCTATTGTACCTGCCTATCGCACACAGAGTTCAGGGACCTCTCTGTCCATGTCCTTCTGCTCCCTCTAGCCCACCCCACACCCCATGCCTGCCTCAGTCACACAGCTTCTGGAAGGTTGTTCGAGAAATTCTCTTTCCAAAATAGCCTTATTGAAATAGAATTCACATTCTATACAATTCTCCCATTTAAAGCATACAATTTAAAATGGTTTTTAGGTTATACACAAAGTTGTGTAACCATCACTACTGTCTAATTCCAGAAGATTTTCATCACTCAGAAAGGAGCCCAGCACCAAAAGCCACTCCCCATTCTCTCCCCCTCTCAGCCTCTGGCAATCACTAATTTACTTTTTGGACTTGTCCGTTGTAGACATTTCATATAAATGTAATCATTTGATATGTGGCTGGCATAATATTTTCAAGGTTCATGCATGTTGTAGCAGCACTTCATTCCTTTTCATCGCTGAGTGTTACTCCATTGTGTGGACATACCACATTTTGTTTATCTTCTTATCAATTGATGGATGTGTAAGTTTTTTAAAAGTCTTTTGGCTATTAATAATACTGTTCCAGTACAAGCTTTTGTGTGAATATGTGTTTTCAATTCTCTTGGATTGCTGGGTTACGTAGTAACTCTATTTTTAACCTTTTGAAGAACTGCCAATCTGTTTTCCAAAGTGGCTCTACCACTCTGTCTTCTTGTCAGCAATGTACAAAGGTTCCAGTTTCTCAACAATTTTGCTAACACTTATTATTGTCCATATTTTTTGACTCTCGCCATCGTAGTGGGTGTAACATGCTGTCTCACTGTGGTTTTGACTTGCATTTTCCAGTTGAGCATCTTTTCACGTGCTCATTGGCCATTTGTATATCTTCTTAGGAAATGTCCATTCAGATATTCTGACTATTTTTAAATTGAGTTATTTGTCTTTTTTTGAGCTTTGTGTTCACTGCATATTCTGGAACCAGTCTCTTATCAAATAACGTGATTTGCAGGCATTCTTGCCCATTCTGTGTGTTGTCTTTTCACTTTCTTCATGGCATTATTTACAGCACAAAAGTTTTTAATTTTGATAAAGTCCAATTTATCAACTTGAGGAAACTTTTTTGATGTTCCTTTCTAATGATGTTTTTGTGTAATTTGTAAAACCCATTCTCAGCAGCCTTATCTGTGTGAATCGTATGCCGACTAAAGCAAAAATGCATTAATTTATCATTTAAACTTATAATAGGTTTAAATTCTTACCTCTTTACCACTAATAATAGCATCTCCATTTCCGCATATGAGCATCCTAATTGATGAGGAAAATTAGCATGTATTACTACTCATGTGATGTGAGAAAACATGCTTATCAGGAAAGAATACCATATGTGTGCATGGAAGCTATTCATGCTCTTTTATGTCTGTGCATGGAAAACGCATTCTCTCTCTCCTAAACAAAAGGAATCATTTTCCAGCCTCACAGTTTTGGGGCTCAGACTTGTTACCTTTCACACCAGGAGCTCAGGTTCTGTAGCCTTTCCTTTTCCTGCCCCTTCAGTGCCCTTTGCACTGCAGTTAATGCTCAGGTGGTTCTAGTAGAAAATGGGAGCGGATCCTGGGGTTGGGTTATAAAGTGCTAGGTACGGAATAGCCTCATGCCTGAAACCATCTCACTGTGGGCTAACGTAATGCTGTATCTTGTTTCCTCTGACTGCTCAAAGTTGCTTCTGCCATCCAGCCTTTCAGAGTTCTCGAGCTGTTCCTTTCATGGATTCAGATGCAGCCCCTCTGTTTCAGGTCGTGACTCCACGCAGTTAAGTCTGCCAGCCTGACGGGGTCGCTTGCCTCAGTTTTGTCTAACAGAGCCTCACGATCTGCCCATCCCAGGCCTTGCCCTGTTTGCCTAGGGCGCTTGTGCTCAGATTTGCGCAGCTCTGAAGCCTCTCCTGGTGGATCTTCCATGGGTCTCTTAAGCCCTGAGTCAAGTGTCGTCTTTCCCTGGTTCCTGGCTCTCTCGGTGCTGCTCCAGGTCACTGTTGTATCCCTGTCCCCACACTCATTTCTGTCAGTGAACGCGAACCTCTTGTGAAGTGAACTTACGTAACACCCCGCTTTACATCTGTTTTCCATCGAGGTGTCTCCATGGGGTATCAAGAGCTAGTCTGGTCTGAGAATAGGAATGAAAACCAGGAAAAGAACCTGTTTTCTCATAAAGCCAGATTGTGAAGTATTTAGGTGAAGAAAAATTGGACCTCACTTCCATATCCAAGAAAGGAAGAAAAGGATATTTATTCATGTGTCACCTGTCCCTATTCTATCCCCACCAAGAAAACAAAACAAATACATTTAAAAAACACACAAAAAACCCAAGCCCACCTATAACCTCTGATCACAATGCCATTTCTCATGGATGTGTTAGGACAGAGAACGAACAGTACAGAATGACAGGCCCTGTGTCAGTTCATGCGTCGCTGGTCCCACCAGGAGGTGAAAGCCTTCGGAGTAATGGGGGCCTCCCCCTAGGCCTTGTCAGAAGGTCTAAAACCCCAGGAGGGTTGTTAGTCTATAGCCCAGCTTTCACCTCCTCTGCAGCCACCACCCATTTCCACGACGTAAACACAATTTGTTATATATCTCCAAGCAGAAGACAGCATTGATCCTGTTCACTTAAGTAATAAACCTTCCCCTAAATCCAGGTCGCCTGGACACATGCTGATCCGCAGTGGCCCCTGAGCTTTTAGTCACGGATGGGCGTCTGCAGAACACCACACATTCTGTTTTCTCCAATAAACACCCCGAGAAAGCCTAGGGAAGCTTTTGGGCTAATGTAGTCCAGGAAGTGAGGTTTATTCCTGAGACTCGAGTCCGTATCATCGTCCTCCCGGCATTGAGCCGTCATCCCCTTCGCAGTCTTCTTTTTTTTTTTCTTTCTTTTTATTGGGTTTATTGGGATAACACTGGTTAACAAAATTACGCAGGTTTCAGGTGTATAATTCCACAGCATATCATTGTATTTAGTATTTACCACCCCAAGTCAAATTTCCTTCCATCACCACTTACCCCCTTACCGTCTTCCACTTCCCCCTCCCACCCACCTGCAATCACCACACTGTCGTTCGTGTCCAGAGGTTTCTCTTGTTTCTTTCCTGCTCAATCTCTGTAGCTGCCAACCCCACAACAGCTGTCAGCGCACTTTTTATCTGTGAGTCTGTCTCTTTTGCTTTGCAGTTTATTTTGTTCATTAGATTCCACGTATGAGAGAAATCATATGACATTCGTCTTTCCCTTTTGGATCTGCTTGTAGCCACTGAAGATAGCCCTGAGCTGGGAGTCAGCGCTGACCTGGAGGCGCAGGGAGGGCCTGACGGGACCTCAAGGGCCCAAGCCCGCAGCCCGCACACTTCAGCTACGTTCACTGGAAGCGGAGAGCGCACGCTGCGATCTCTCACCAACACAAGCGTGACCTCCGGGGAGGCGGTGCCCAGAGAAACAGACAGCGCTCCTCTGCACAGGAACGGGACCGTTGCTGGTGCCACTCCCAGAGGCGGTGAGCAGGGCCTCCTTCCACACTCTTTCAGCCACCTGTCCATTGCCTTGAGGTCCCAGAACGACTAAGTTCGCTGTCCACCGCGGAAGTACCTTACAAGCTCTTTATCAAGAGCCCTACCTGTGTTCTCTCACCTTCCCCCTATACACGCACTTGCCTAAGGCACTTGCCAACCGCATCTGCCAGGATGCTTGAATAAAAGAGAGCAGGCACTTTGTGGCTAAGGCCGGTCTCCTGGGAAAGAAATATCTCATACAGAATGCAAAGTTGAGAGGGTTTTCCTTTTTCCACTTAGGCATAACAGTTGTTCTATTTGGGGTCTTGAGAGCTTTTAAGATACCAATTTGCTTTGATCAAAGTAGGCCTGTGGAAGGAATTTGGGCCTGTTCCCTGTTCTTTGGCCCCCGGCCCCTTCTCTTTCATGACCATTTATTTCCACTGCTGCCACTGCGCTCCTCAGAGGAGCTCAAATCTGCCCAGCAGACACAGACCCTGCCTGCCTTCAGAACTCACTCTCCGGAGAGCTCACCGTTGAAAACCGCCTCTCCAAGGAAGTGTTTCATCCACTGGGGTTCATGGATAGGACACTGACAGTCTGTTGTATGGTGTGTGTTCAGGAGACTGCTTATTTGTGTAGTTGGCCTAACTTTAGTCTTTCCCTTTGCAGGCTCTGGAATTACCTATGATCAAGTGAGTGGCACCAGTACTGAACAGAGGACTTCCAGTGACCACACAGACCACACCTATGTCTCATCTACTTTTACCAAAGGAGAACGAGCATTGCTGTCCATCACAGATGGCAGTTCCTCCTTGGACATAAGGGAGAGCTCGACCTCTTCTATTAAGATCTCAGACTCCTCACATTCAGACTATCCTTCCTCTTCTCAGGCTCAGACTGAAAGAAGTAATGTCTCGTCCTATGGAGGGGAATATGCTCAGCCTTCCACTGAGTCACTGGGTCTGCGTACAGCCAACCTTCCATCCTACACATCCACCATTAATATGCCAAAAACCTTGGTGCTTCTGGACATGCATACTGGATCAGTTGGGGACCCATCTTCGTCAGGCTCCCCTTTGCCGCCACCCTCAGTGTCACAGTCCCACCAGTCGTCCCCCTCAACCTTATCATCCACCAGGGCCTCTGCTCGTCCACTGGAGTCCACCTCCGATGCGCCCACACCTTTGTCTTCCTCACCACCACCTTTGCCAATATCCCTGACAGTCTCCACCCCTGCCTCACTGCCCGTGCCCCAGACAACCCAACCACCGTCATCTCCTACGCTGGCCCTGCCCAGGGCAAGGACCACGCCTGTGGCTGCGATTCAGACGTCAGCAACGGCATCATCTGTGGCGATGCCCTCCAGTAGTCAACCAGCAGATCCTAAGAACCAGAGCAGGCCACACCATGAGAGAATGTTTACAGAATCGGAGCCACCGAGCCTGCAGCCTGTGCACACGGAGGCTGCTGAAGCTGAGACCGTGAGCTCTGCTTCAGGGATTCCTTTGCCCCCGACCTTAGCAGGGTCCTCCCCTGAGCAGATCCTTCCAGCCACAAGCACCAGCTTAGCCCAAAGGCTTCCAGCTTTGACAGCCACCACTCTCAAGATCTCTCATCCCCCCGTGCCCACTCCCAGCCCCTCGTCAAGCACAGCAACTCCGATGGCTGGCCCCCCAGCAGTACAGACTGTGGCCGGAAGAGAGTTCTTGCCAACCAGTCCTGAAATTCTAGCACCGCAAATCTCTACAGGAGTTGCTGTTACCACAAAAAGGAATGAAATGCGTATAGATGATACTACCCAGTTGAGCCTCCTGACCAGTGTATCCACATCAGCAAAAGAACTGACAACAGGGCTTGGCATTTCAGAGGAGTATAGCCGAGCTTCACATTTCCTCAGAACACCTCCTTCTCCCCAAAGCACAGGTGTTTCTCCAGCAGAAGTGTTGCCTCCCAGATCTACCACCTTCCATGCTGAGAGCAGCACGCAGTCCCCAACATCCTCAGGTAGGACACAGGCACACAAGCATGCCGAGAGCTGCTTGGGAGGGGATTCACTTGAATGCATGGCAGTGGCTGCTGTTTGCAATAGTACAGTATTTGTTTGTGATCTCAAATGCTTCCTGTTGAAGCATAAAATAATGTTGTGGTGAACCTAAGTTTCTCACCGCTGAGTTACGTAATCCGTCCTAAAGAAGGAGGAGAGGGTGCCACTGGCTGTGCGTGACATCAGTAGATAGCGTAATTGCAGCTTCTAAAGCCCTGTAATTGCAAGAGCTTTTCAAGCATGCCTTAACTCTTCCACAGCCAGAGTGGGCAGTGATGTGGGATTGGAGGGAAGAGAAAATGGAGTAAAGAAGCGTTAGGTGGCCTGTCTGAGACATGGAGTGAGCCGGTGATGGCTCCCAGATCAGAGCTCCGAGCTTCTGAGTCAGTCAGGTGGCTCCGGTCACCAGAGAGGCTTCTCTTGGTCCAGGGGAAGCCCAGGCCCCTTGGCCTCCCACAGATGATGTTGCTAGTTGAGAAATGGTGGGGGAGGGGGCGTTGAGGGGGGTAGGTGGCCACGTTCAATAAGAAGATGATGAGCTAATCTGTTCCCATAGTGAATGGATGTCTAGGGCTATTTTAATTGTGCTTGAGGTTATCTTTACATCCACACTGAAGTTCTTGGCTCAGGAAAATAAAGCCGTCATCCACACGATTCTTTACTGTGTAAGGAAAGGTAGAAGGAAGATGGTTTATCATTTGATATCATGTTCAAAATGGTACATTTGGCTTGTCCAGACCCAGGAAAGGAGAACTGCTGTTGGTGACAGGGTGACATGGAGACTGACATCTTAAGGAAAAAGAAAAGACGAGAAATGCTCTGTAGTGACTGGGGCAGTGAGCTCAGTTAGTGGCAGAGTTCCACCTGAATCAGCCATCGGCAGTGTGGTGACTGGAGGGACCACACTGTCCCCACCAGCCCCACAGTGCCATGATGCGTCGGTGGCCCTTTATACAGTGATCCCAGCACCTCTGGGAAGTGAAAAGTGGATCCTTCACCTGGGAATGTGGGATCCCTGCTTCACAGTTCACAGAGCTTCATTGCCAGTGGCCAAACATACATGATCTCCCTTAGAGCTGATGGCTCTTGCAATGGTAACTGTGGGCAAGTATTAGGAGTACCATTACTGGCTGGAAACATGTTTTGTGGCAGGATCCATGCGTTCAGTGTTTGGATATATACTTGCTGTGCTTAGGTGATTTTAGGTATATGAACATAGCAGTGAGGACTAGGAACACAATCTTTAGGTTTTTTCAGGATTTGGTTTTATTCAGGATTATTCTTTTGGAGTAAGAACTCTTGATTTCTGCCTTCTTTTTCCTCATCCTACCACCGATTTTCTCCTTGGAGACGAGGCAGTTATTTTGTGGGTTTTGGCTTTTCTAAATATGTGTCCGAAACCTTTATTAGGCAGTTGTTATGTAACTGGAGCATGACAGTGTGGATTATACAGACTGAAACAGAGGGTTGTGGTCACTGCCCTTGGGAACTGCGAGTCCAAGATGACATTGAAGCCAGTGCATCATTAGGGCCTAGATGAGTCATGTAGGCGCTTTGTTACAGTATGTGAAGAAGAGGCATCGCAGTGCTCAGCTCCAGAAGGTTTTCTAAATGATTGCACAACCTGTGGAGGCCCACACATTGTTACATTTTGAGCACTTCGGATAAAGGGAAATCTGCAGCAGGAAGATGGGTGATCAGAGATCCTTTTCCACTTAACATGTGTTTTAAATGGGCATTAATTCAAGTAGAATTTTCCAAGTATCGCAAAGGCAATATAATTGGCAACCCTGAATGGAGTGACCTGTAAGTAGCTTTTGGATTTGAACCAGTTCTTGCATTCAGGGATCCAGTCGTCTGTTGCTTGTGCCTGTGCACAAGCGAGTGCTGGAATCCAGTTTCACCGTTTTTCTGCTGTTCCTCTTGGGAACCCATTCTATTTTAGTAGTGTGGCCTTTCGGGGCAAGTAAACCGAAATAAGCAAGGATCAAATATTAGCCAGGAGAATTAAATATTTACCTAGAGCTGCCTTTACATTTCCTGTGTGGTTAACTGCTTTATTCCTGGAATGTGTTTTTAGCGAACAGCTGTGACCCTGATCCTTGTCTTCACGACGGGAAATGCTTTGTGGACGCCACCAGCCGTGGGTATCGGTGCGCGTGCTCCCCTTCCTGGCAAGGGGATGACTGCAGTGCGGGTAAGAGGGAAGGTCGTCCCCGGTGGTCTGCGGTCCAACAGCACATTGAGATAGGCAGTAAATTCTTTTTTTTCTCCAAAATGCAGGGGAGTGAGATTTTCCAATTAATTCCCTGCTTACCTAAGAGTTAACGTGCGTAGGTGCTATGGGTAGAATGACGTCAGGCAGTAAGGTTGACAAGTCTCCATGGTCTGGCTTCGTTTTGTGGGCTCCCTCTGCTCCCACCCCCGGGGCCATCCACAGCTCCCCTCGGCCCCTGCACTTTCCTGCTCCCGGCCTTCGCTCTGCTGGGGCCTCGGCCTGGAATCCCCCCACGTATGTCTGTGTATTGAAGTTCTTCTAGTCTTAGTCCATATATTATTTGAAACAGTCTTAATCCTCCCTTCCATTAAAAGCTGCTACTTTCTCTGTACTTCCAGATCCTGCCTTGTGTGTATAGTTAGCTGTATACATGCTGCCTCTACCCTCGCTAGTCTGGTAGCCCCTTGGGAACAAGGGTAGTGGCCGGCTCATCTCTGGGGGCCCGCTGCACCTGGTGCCATTTGGCCCTCAGTCAGTGCTTACTGTAATGGGTTTTGGTTTTGCTCTTCTGTCCTCTGCAGATGTGAATGAGTGCCTCTCGAACCCCTGCCCACCCCTGGCCATGTGCAACAATACTCAGGGATCCTTCACCTGCAGATGCCCAGTTGGGTACCAGTTGGAAAAAGGAATATGCAATTTGGGTAAGAGAGTAGTTAGCCTGTCTTGGAACTCTTTCTACACCACAATATATTTTGCTAAGTAACGTAAAAAGTAACATTGTTTTTCTCTGTAATCGAAATCAATATTTATCCAAGGTATAACATGAGGAATATAGGAAGAAGTAGTCGATGCTGCCTATTATTCCACCACTTAGAAATATATCGCCTTATTTGAAACTTTTTTTAGTGTGCATTTTATTCTTATTACAGTTGAAATTATGTGGTATTTGTGCAAACTTTACATCTTAAGCATTTTCCCATGTTATTGAAAATATTATACAAACTTTTTAATGAGTGCATACATATGCCATCAGTTGTGCATAACAATTTTTACTTAATCGTTCCATCCTGCAGTTAGGAATAAATATGTATGTATATATCAAAGGGTATTCTAACCACATAGTTTAAAAAATACATTTAAGGGAGAGAAAAAAGAGGGAAAAAACCTGATTGTCCTACCAGAGTCACACATTCTTTTCATTTTTAAAATCAATCTTCATGTTCTTGTCCACGGGCAGACATATTTTTACAAAGCTATTGTCATAATCGTATTATACAATTTGTCATCTTTTGTTTCCTAATTTGATAGCTTCATGAAACTTGGTTGATTTTAGATATAATCACCGCTTTAAGAGTAAGAAGTAAACAATCCACATGAAAACTACAGCCCTGACAAGGTGCTAAGTGGCCAACGGTAAACAACTGCTTGATTGGAGGCCAAGTTTCCAGCCCACATTCCTTCTTTTGCACAATAATGTGTTAATCGTAAGAGCTTTCCTGCACGCAGTGTGTAACCCTGTATTGGAGTGCTGAGTTCAACACATAACTTGTTGAAAAATTAGACATGAAGAACTTAGAGTTATTATCTAAGCTTGGTAAGGAAACTGGCAGGTAAAGTGAATCAACTTTGAATCATCCTTAATCGTGCAGTGTGATTCTTGACACACAAAAAGTACTCAGTAAATATTTTTTTGAGAGAACAGATGTCTTCATCTTTTGAAAATATCATTTGCATGAACTCCTATTGCCTGTACGCTGAAGGGAATCATCAGACTTTTTAGAAGGTTGTGTCAAATGGCTAAAAAACTAAAGCAATTTAGTAACGAGTTTGACATCCTTAATTTGAAGGAAAACAATTCATGGGTGGGAGAGTACAGTGCCTCGCCAACTGTGGAGCACTTTTCCTGGGGAACTGTGGGCAAGAGTGAATTTTTAGAGGGCGAGAAGTGGCAATGTGGAAACAGTGTGTGATTGGCTGGGGTTGTGTATCTGACCTTATTTAGAAAGATCAAGGAACAAGGAAATAAGTATAGAGCCCAGGGTTGGCGTGCAGTATGGGGATTGGCGGACTGGATGGACTACTGGCCAAACAGAGCACTGACAGGGCCCCAACAGGTCAGTTTGCTGACCTAGCACCCTGGACAGGAGTGGCTCCACCTGGGGCCAAGAAATGTATCACAACAGTTGCTACCCTACTAAAATAATGGTAGGATTTTGAAAATTGTTTAAAATACAAGGATCAAATCAAAGCCTTATTTAAAGAACGAAAACTCTGGGAATATAGATATCGCTCCAAATCAAGAATTCCTCTTATTCTAATAGTTTATTCGCTTTCGGTAACCTATTCCATTTAGTTACACCACATAAGAAATAAGCCAGGAGTTTTTGGTTTAAGAATGGAGAAGACGGAAAAGATTTTGTCCCGAAGCCGGACGGAAAGTACGCCTGCCCCGCTTCCGGCTGCAGCGCCCCACCCACAGCACGTGACCCCTGAGCCTCCGTTTCCCCATCTGTGAACTCAGATTATCCCCTTGTCTGCTTCCCACTCAGGGTTATTGTGAAGATCAAATAAAGTAATGTATTTGAGCAAGTTTTGAAAACGGGAGATTTCAGGAGCCCTCCTTGGCATATGTTGCCATTTGGTTCAAATAAACTCTTATAAAAATTTTTGAGAAAAGAAAACAGTAGAATTCTCTAGGTGCGAGGTATTTTTTTAACATTAGCCTTTAACCTCTGAGACTGCTTGGACCAGAGTTGAAAATAATAAAGCACTCTGAATACAGAGTAATAATTATGGATCGTAAGTCATTTTGATAACCTGTGTAAGTGGACAGTTAAATCTGATGAAAAAAATTGCCTTAAAGCTAAGTGATGTAACTGCAGAGGTGGGGATGCCTGTGTGCCTGGGGAGAGTGCAGGGGCTGGGAAGATGCCACGTGATGCCAGCCTCACATTCACACCGAAAGCAGAGGCCACATTCACTGTCACGGTTCAGAAGGGATCTGTGTACTTAGCATTTACAGTCTGTATGTTTCTATACAAGGCGTCTGGGTATAAACCTGTGTGCCTGTGAGATGTGAAGACAGTTCTGGAAGCCTGTTTGTGGAGTGTCCCACAGGCCCCACAATCCAGGAGGAGAGTGGGTCTATTGTGTTAACAATCATCTTTCCCTTTTCAAGTCATTAACTTCATTGTTCATAAACACTAGAGGAACATGCAAATTAGAGCATGCTGAAATGCTTTCATTTGGCCAAGAATGTTTTCAAAGAGCTCCCTGCTGCTCAGAAAGAGTCCTTAGCAGCTGGCTTCACTGAACTGTAGAACAAGCAAAAAGATGTTAAATAAGGATTAAGGGCCTTAGACAGTAAGTATAAGATGTTAAATGTTTTCCCTGGCTCATTTGCGGGCCCCCCTTTTTTTTTTTTAATTCAGCAAGAAAGCTTTCTGTGAAAGAGCAGCTTCAGAGGTTTCTGTGTTTCAGGGTTGTTGTTTTTTTTTTCTGTCCAGAGGGGAAGATAACAATTTAATATAAAAGAAGATAAGAGCCAGATATAAAGCAGGCTATACTAATTTTTGGTTGCCTGCCCATTTTTAAATTCCATTCCCCTCAGGCCTAATCAGCACAAATTGACGTTAACTAGAATTTTATTTTATGAGTGAAATGGGCCTTGGAAATGAGGCTGCTTCCTTTCATGTCTGAATCCAACATTATCTTGAATATGGGTCGTTTCATTACGTGGCTTATAATCATGGAGTCTGGCAGCCTCCTGGAGTGCGGTCTCACTACAGATGTTTGGAACCTTCTGCTCTAGCCCCTTGGCTGTCCTTAGAATATCAGATTCCTAAGGGGGCTGAGGGTGTAGAAGAACCCAGAAGATGGGCACACGTGACGTTAAATATTAATTTTGGCCCTTGGAAGCTGTGCAACCTTGGGAAGTTTCTGACTTCTGGACACCTCTTTTATCAGTGAAAAAATGGGCGTTTCCTCTGAGTGAGAGGAACAGGGGTTGATGGGGGTGACGGTAGTGAGAAGAGGAAACCCTTGAAGGTGAGGACTTTGTTGAAAGACCTAGAGTGAAAGAGCTTTCCTCCCTCTAAACCTTTATGGGCTTGGTGAGCATTATTTATGTCTAGCCCCACGTCTCCCTCCAGGAATATGTCATTTAGGCCAGCTCATCTTTTTTCTTTGTCACAGCTCTGTTAGGCATCTGTTATGGGAAGGCCACGAGAGAGACATCAAGAAGGCTCCTCTCCGCAGTCCTCCCACATACACAAAAGGCTCCTTGGAGTCTCTCGCCCAAAGGTTTGCTCAGTCTGAGCCTTCAGCTCAGCTCAGTAGATGCTCACTTCCCTAGAGAAGGGCCCAGGATGGGAGAGGTGGTCTCCACCCTCCAGTAGAGAGAAATGCACAGAGGTGGTCCTTTGAGGTGGAGTAAAGCTGGATGCCCCAGAAAGTTACATACACACAGGGGTGTAGGTCAACCTGTTTTGTAGCCTAATAGGTTATGTTTTTATTTTCAGTTAGAACCTTCGTAACAGATTTTAAATTAAAGAAACTCTTTCTTAACACCACTGTGGAAAAACATTCAGACCTACGTGAAGTTGAAAATGAGATCACCAAAACAGTAAGTTTTCTGAAAGACATCTTCCTTCTAGTACTTTGCCTTCTAGAACAGATTTCTTTCAGAATTGGGAACCTCCTGGGGATTGGCTATATCTCCTGTGCTGTTCATTTCTGTTATATTTGAAAGGGAGACGCCGTGGTGGAATAAAAGGCCTCTCAGAAGTAGAAGGGAGGTATTGAGAATTAGTAGTTTCCAGTGGAAGCATTTCTTTAAGTTTGTCCTTGTGCACAGCCTTTATCAGGGTCTTGGCATTTCTTTTCCATGTGCAAACTGATAGTCACAGACGTTTAGATGCCATGAACCTGTAAAAGCTGTTGGTAAAGAGGAAGGACCCAGAGAACCCTACTATCCCATGTGCTGTTGACATGCTCTGGGACCGCTCTCTGTATTTAGGGACATGGAAAGGACGAAGCTCTTTTTCCTCAAGGGAATGCCAGAGCCGGAGTAGTTAACTGTCCGGGGTTGAGAATGCATTGCACAGGCTATCTAGGGGACTTGGATTCTTCTCTCCCTCGTTGCTTACTTTTTGTCAGAAAAAAAGAAAGAAAAAGAAAAGTGGAAAAGAAAGAAGAAATGAAAATGAAACTCAGATAGTAAATGTTGCCTCTCAGCTGCTACCTGAGTGTAAGGTTTGGTGTTTAGAAAATTGAAGTTTGTCATTAAAATAAGTTTCAGAGATCAACTGATTTCTGATTTCAATTTTACTTGTTCTCTATGTGTGAGAGTTACTATATTAACCAAAACCTATAGGATTTTATAGGAACTGTGGATTTTATTTGTATAAAATTTTGATTCCAGTCTTGTTTCTGTATCTACTGAACATCTGCTCTGTGACAGGTGCTTTGACAAGGTACCTCACTTCTGCAAGAAGTATTGCTAACACCTTTATAGATGGAAAACTGAGAGGCTCTAGAAGTTAATGACATCTCTTGAGCTCACACAGAGCAAGTGAAAAGTTAGGGAACAGCCCACTAGACTGCCCTCATTTCTGATACCAGTTGCAAGTTTGGGGATCCCTCAGCTTTGATAATTCACTAGGACTCAAAGGTCTCACGGAAAGCTGTTATACCACGGTTATGGTTTATTACAGTGAAAAGATCCAGGTTACAATCAGCCAAGGGAAGAGAGGCATGTAGGGCAGAGTCCAGGAGGGCTCCAAACTTGATGCTTCCAGTGTTTCTCTCCCCATGGAGTTGTGGACAGTGTTATCTCCTCTTGGCAAAAAAAAGTGTGTAATAGTTATGGAGTATGGCCAACCACGGGGGCTTATTTGAGTCTTGGTGTCTAGAGACAATATGTAGTGCTCACTTCGGCGGTACATATACTAAAATTAGAGCCAATATGTAGACATAGTCAACTGCCCATATGGCTGACCTCAGTCTCCAGCCCCTCTGGAGGTCAAGGAGATGTCATATAACTCAAAGTCCTCACCATAATTCACGTCTCTAGACTATCTGGAGAGGCCCAAGCCTCCGGGTAAACAAAGGCAGGCCATTCCAGAGGCTTAGTTAGAGAGCACCTCCCGGGAGCCAAGGGCTAGACCTCTCTTTGGACCAGGTTAACTTCTTTTCTATATGGTGGGTTTTATGTCAACTTCCATGTCTTCTAACCCTATACCTGCTGGTAGTGTCACTCCATAGCACCTCTCTCTTGGTTGTGCTGCAGGTCAGTATTTCCTTCTAAGAGAGTACAGGGGCTCAGGACCCTGTGCCCAGGGGCAGTCTGACTACTGCCTCTGTAGTCAGACTGCCCCTGTGCTCAGTGCTCACACAGTGCTCAGTGCGCACACAGTGCTCAGTGCGCACACAGTGCTCAGTGACTACTCTGACTTGCTAACTTTTACCCAGTGTCAATGTATTAATTAAGTGACTTCTCCTCCCCAAGAACTAGTGAAGATTTGGGCAGAGACTGGAAAAGCTGCTCAAGTGGCCTTTCCCAAGGTGTCATTTTATTCTAAAGTGTGCCATTTCTGTTTCCACCTGGGGAAAAAACAAAGCTTAAGTAATAATGCTAATAATAAATCATTGCCTATCAAAGTATAAAGCAATATCATTCAAAGCCATAAAGGGTTTGATAACATCCCGTGTTTGAATCTTCTGAAGAGTGAGATGTATCTGACACATGAGCTTTGAAGCCAGGTCGATCTGCATTGGTCGAGGTATTGAGACCCTCTGCTGCCTAAAAGGAATCCCCGGCCCCCAGTGGGGAGAACAGGGAATCAGGCATGGTACTTTCTTTATGCCCTGGAGGGACCTCCTGCTTTCTCTGAGGGCACAAGGAAAACACAGGCAGTCAGTCTTAATTTGCTCTCAACAGAAGGGGTCAGTCCTTGACCCACGTAATGTAATTTCCTGCGGAGAGCCTTTTGAAGAGGACCTATCTTTGAGTTAGGTCAACTCATTGTAGATTAAGAAGGGTCTGTGTAGGGCCTGCCAGACTTGGGTAGCTGAAAGGAGCCAGCCTTTTCATGAGGCTTGTTCACTATGCAAAGTCCAAATAAACAGTTGCCTGTGAGTTTTTTGAAACCCTGGGTCTTAGAAGAGATCTGCTGCTTTGAAGATGTTTTGCATCCAAGGGTGCTGTTCTGAACATCGTTCCTGCCAAGGTTTTCCCCACTGATTTACTATCTGCCTCCCTCCCTTTGTACTCATGGAAAACAGTGTAAGTGCAGGAAGGCATTGAGAAGGGAACGAGAATAGGGCAGCACTCTTCTGTAAAACCCCCTGCAGATGACTTGATGGCTAGATAATGCCTTTTTAATTCTGAAAATGGGAAATTGGTTCCAGGTCTAAGGCTTTTGTCTAACTCACAGTTAATTACAAACCTGTTCTTCCTTTCAGTTACATACGTGTTTTTCCACATTACCTGGTTATACCCGATCCACAGCTCATGCTTCCAGGTAAGTACATTCGCTTGTGAACCAGTCTTTAGAAAGGGGAGGATATTCTTACATGAGTGACAGCAATAAAGCTGGGCCCTGATTTGACCAAGCGACAATGTGACCAAACTCAGTGGACCTTCGTGCTCTCCCATTTCCTCTTCAGACAATGGAGATGACACTTGTTTTTCAAAAGCCTTGGGGCCCGCATGTCATTTTAGAACAATTAAAAACCTACACACTTTGCCTATAGAGAGTCCAGCGCTGTGGTCATGTCGCTGCAAACAACCTTTTCCCTGGCCTCCAATGTGACGCTGTTTGATCTGGCTGACGGGATGCAGAAATGCGTCAACTCCTGCAGGTCCTCTGCTGAGGTCTGCCAGCTCTTGGGGTCTCAGAGGCGGATCTTTAGAGGTAAGAGAAAGGCCCTCGGGGAGGACCTCACCCACACAGTTAGGCACAGACCTAGCGTGGACATGTAAAGCACTCAGGGCTCTCAGGCCCAAGAAAGCTTGTCACAGAGCCAGGCTATCTTTGAAATGGGTGTTAAGCCAAAGACCTTTGTGTGTGTGCACCTTTGTACATGCGTGCATGCACTCACGCATGTACACACAGTCTTGAAGTCACCTGGTCCTTGGCATGCTTCCCCTTCTCTTCCTCTACAGGACCTGATGTAATGAAGCAGAAATCACTCTTCTTTCCCTTGAGAAGTTCCTACTCTCTCTGGGGAGACAAACATTCACACACAGAGTGTACCTGCTTGTCAATACCCCAAACCTTCATCGGGATATGTATGCCATTATGTTAAAAAACAAAACAACAACAACAAAAAAACATGTGCAGCATTACCTGCCATTTTTGTTTATTTGCACATCACCAAAGCACAGGAACAAGACTGCCCAGTGTTGTTCAAGATAACCTCCCTCTTCTTGTTCTTGCTTTACCTGTCTTGTCAAAAAGTGTCTGCGGGGCATCTAGTAGAAAGAAAGCAGATGGAGAAAGGGGTTAGAAACAAGTTCAGAGGCAAATTTGGGTCTTGGAGGGGAGGTTTTGCCTCTGGGATGGGAAAGCTGCTGGAATCAAAGTGCTTCCTCACAAAGGGGGCTTGTCCCTGCTGCCGTATCATAAGTGACCCAAGTGGGCTCTGCTAAGCTCATTTTACTACACAAGTAGGATGTGGAGTCTGTGTGAACCTCCCTTCTGGTGCCCAGACGCTGACCCAAGTTGTAGGTAGCAGGTTCTGTGCTGTATCTGCTGGTAGATCCAGGACTTCCCTGTGGGTTGGGGCTCTGTGAGTGCTGGTCCTACGTGCTCTCCACAGGGCCCTCACTGGAGAGCCTGCGAGCCAGGAGTTAACCTTTCACTCTGGGATAAATCTTTGGCCTATTTCAGGGCCAGTTACTCCTTTAAAAAAATTAAACTAAACTTTCTGGAATTAGAGTTGCTATCATTCAGAATCATTGGGAAATTAGCTTAAAAATTCATGTCCCATTAGACTGTGCTCTGAACTCTGAGGCAAGAACTCTTTGGTTTTACTTTGTTTCTTTTTGTGATTCAGGGGTCCCAATTTGTCCTCCCTAGCGAGTAGGAAGGGGACCTTTGAATTCATCATACACTTAGGGACTATATCCTCTGTGGTCAGCATTGTATGAGGTTACATTTTTGTCCCCAGTAAATGCAGTTCATGCCTTGCAAATCAAGTGTCCGGGTACTTGGATTTGTAAGGTCCTGTTTGGAGCAGCTTTGCCCACTCTCAGACTCCCATTCTTCCAACCGCTTGGATGTCTGAGGCTCATGGGAAAGCTCCTGTTTTCCTGGCTGAGGTCCCATTCTTTTCTTTCTTAAGACTTTAATTTTTAAGAGCAGTATTAGGTTCGCTGCAAAATTGAGAAGAAGTTACACAGCTCTCCCACATAGCCCCTTGTCCCGACACATGCTTCGCCCCTCCTTTCAGAGCCCGTGAATTGCAGGCTCACTTCTCTGTTTTAATCCCAGGTCTTCTCCAGGCTTTGCCAACACACTCAGCTTGGTCTCTGGCTCACCTTTCTGAGTGTGGGAGAGGCGGGCATGGCGGGCAGGAGCTCTCAGGCTCTGACATCTGGGGGTTTCCAACCTCTGGGCAGCACCGGGCTACAATGGACACGGCCATTCGAAAGGCGGGTTTTTACTTTTCAATTCACAAAATACCTACTCCCTTACCTTTCACAACCCCACAGCCCATGCCTTGAGAGGTTTAGAATCCTTGGAAACCCCCCATGCGGCACCTTAGCCTTAGATTTACGGAAGTTCTCATTGCCTGTGTGGCGGACGTTATGCCCAGGCAGGACCATGGGAAGTGTGGATGTAGAAAAGTCACATTGCTGGGCTTGCAATGCAAATGGGATTCTGAGTGATTCCGTCTGATGGATTTGTGATAGAATGTTAATAAAGAATTTTTAGGATAGCAGCTCCTCCATCGCAGAGGCTAGGCCAGCTGTTCTTGCTTTCCCATGAACCTGCCTCTGTGCAGGGAAGGGTTGCCTCAGGCAGCACGCCGGATGAATGGGCAGGACAAAAGGCAAACACCACACTGGGTTCCAGAAAATACCTAATCAGGCCAGGCAACTCAGGCTGGCTGCCAGACAAGGCTAGTGCTGGCCTGGGCAGCCCTTAGCCCTGGGGGTGCTTCTCCCGATTAAGGCTCGAGGACTGGCAGGGCCTTCAGAAAATACAGATGAGGGACTGCAGGGTTTTGGGACCTCTCTGGTGCCAGCTTTGCAGTGTTTGCTTGGTGAGGTTTTCCATTTTTTATTATTCCCCCTTAAATACAAACTCCTCGCAATAAACAAAGGAAATTCTATCACACACACAAACAGGGTTCTCATTTAGCACGTCAGCTTCCACTGATAAAGACAGGAAATTTGGCGTTGAGAACTAAAGTTGTGTCCTAAACTTACCTCCCTGTGGCCAGGCCGTCCACCAGGCCCCAAGCTCTCAAGACTCAGAAAAGTAGGCTGATTCTGGGACCCCCTCCCACACTCCAGCCCTCCTGTGGGGGTGTCAGCTCCCATCACCAGAACCTGCCCCGGAGGGTCAGCTTTGCTGTGTTAAGAGCAGGTGTATGAATAGGTTGATGTCTTCCTTAAGGTGGGCAAAAGGGAGAAGAGATACCATCCTCACTGCACAATATGCATTGTTCTTCCATGGCCCTCTCCCCATTCTGAACTTGCACTTGTCTGCCAACAACAACAGCATGTAGCAGGCTTGCCTTGCCCTGTGCGTGGGTCTGAATCAGCTACTGCTTACTCTCCAGCTGGTTTTATATTTTTGTCCTATTGTCTGTGTACCCCAATTATGTGTATCTTTTTTAGTTGGGCTTATCTTACATGGTAAAATGCGCCCTCGTTCTGTCTACTGCATACAGCCTCCAAGAGGGTCTGCTCTGTGCAATCTCAGAGAGGGTTCAATGAGTACAGTCTCAGGGAGGGCCACATGCCCAACACGAGTGCTTTTTTGATCATAATGAAATGACTCTTTGTCATCTGTGAAATGGACATGGCCCACGTGCTCAGGGCCGGACACAGACAGGTAGATACACTGTAAGAAATAGGGAGAGGAGGTAGAAGGTCTGAAAGATACACTCCTCCGCCTGCCTGTCTCCCTTGCTGACCCGGTGACTGGTGGTCTGACGCCGCCTTCAGCATGTCTGTGCCGGGCGCTGTGTGGCCCAGTCTCTGTGCAAGGTGCTGAAGACGCAGAGACAGATACGCTTGAAGACATGGTCATTGTAGTGGGGCGGCAGACAGGTGACATAATTAAACTGCAGCCCCCAGACAGCAGCTCATCTTCCACACCTCTCCATGGAATCGTCTGTGTTAGGTAGCAAGCTACCCTCCACAGGAGTGTGCTGCGTCCCTTTCGGCGGCACAGAGGTGGCTCTGAGATATGCTTTCTGAGTCCCTCATCTTCCTCAGAAGAGTGTGGTCATGGCTTTGGTGTTTGTGTCAGTCTCCCCCTTGCAGTCCTTAAGCAAGAAGATGCCACACCTTTGGGGGCCAGATCTGCAGTGGACGCTGGGGTTGGGGACAGCACTGTTTCCCCCCGGGTTTCTCTGTCTCACAGCGCACCGCGCGAACTTTCAGGGAGCAGGCCTGGGGCTGACAGAGGGGAGGCATGGCAGAAGGCAGAATGGACCTCTGAGAGGGGTGTGTACTGTTGAACACTTTTTGGAAAATTGTTCTCAGAGCCTCTCAAAATAGAAAGTTTATGCATCTGAAGGTTTGAAGTCTGTCAGGTTTTGTTTTGTTTCACTGTCTTGTTTTTCCATTCCAGCGGGCAGCTTGTGTAAGCGGAAGACTCCAGAATGTGACAAAGAGACCTCCATCTGCACTGACCTGGATGGTGTCGCACTGTGTCAGTGCAAGTCGGGCTACTTTCAGTTCAACAAGATGGACCACTCCTGCCGAGGTACCGCAGGGTCTCAGGGGTTCTGTGGCCCATCTTGGGACAGGATAGATGCTGTTCTCTGCCCCGGGGCTCTCTTCCTGCTCTAGGTGTGACTGTTCTAAACCTAGGGTAACCAGTTCTTTTTATTTTGCTCACAGCAGGGTAGAATACATTATCTCCTTGGAATAATAGGATTATCTCTGGCCCTGCACTGGCCTGGCCACTGGATTCGAAGGGAAGGAAAGAGAATGGAACGCCTGTGGTGGCAGCGTCTTTCCCTTCCCACCGCTTTAAGGAAGTCAGAAAACTTTTGTTTCAATTCCCAAAGCTTTATTCTATTTTCTGCTAATCTTTTAAAATTGTAATACAAGCATGGAATACAAGCATGTACATTTTAGCAGCACCTGTGGCTCAGTAGACAGAGTTCTGATGAGAATCAGGCAGATGGGTCAGAGGCCACCTCAGCAGCACCGGTCGTGCAGCATGTTGGGCAAGTCACTTTGTTTCACAGAACCTCAGTTTCCTCTAAGAATTCAAGAAAGCAGTACAACAGCAGTACTTTGCACACCAGATGCATTTACTATTATCTTTTACCCAGGTTGTTGTTGAATCAATGAGTTGTAGTTTAAAAGGTTTCATAAAGTGCTTGAGGGCAAAAAGCAAATTCTGCAAACCTTTTAGGTGAGGCTTAAATTCATTTAGCTTGAGATTAAAGGCTGCTCACTGAGTAGTGCTTTAACACGAGATGAATCCAAGTGCCGAGCACTGTGTGCCTGGCTTATTAAACACTGCTACAGTGGATGATCGCGAGAAAAACATGGCGATGTAAAGGCCAGGACGCAGCTTTAAGCATCGCATGGCATTAGAACGTGTTTGGCTCACTTTTCCTCCTGGTGACCGGTGTACTGAAATCCGAGAAAAAATTGCATACTCAGGAAAGGTGGCATGCCACTTATATCTGTCAAAATTTCCCACTAAGGGACTCATTCTATCAGGAGAGGACAAAAATAGATTTCAGGGCAGTGTTCTCACCCTGCGCTTCAGACCCTGTGACTTAGGTTTATATACAAAGGGCTTTGAAAGTGCACAGTCTTAGCTCTGCATGCGGGCTCTGCAGTGGGTGTGGAAGAAGAGGGCCAGTGCTCCATGACAGGCAGCAGCCGTGATACCTGACAGCTTCACAGTGTTTCTCAGCACCGTGGCAGGCTGCTGCTTTGATGCGAAGAGATGGTGCTTTCTAATTCCATCTTACCTGGTTTAACGCAAAGTGTTCCTCGCCCTTCTGAGAAACCGGGCTGTAGAGCCCTGGTTCATGTGGGACGGCGACTGCTGCTAACATCGCTCTGCTGGGGCACCTTACCACGGCCGGGGGAGGGGAGGGAAGGTGGGCAGGAGCGCAGGCTTGTAGGCGTGCGGGCCCGAGCGTGCCATGCCTCTGCAGTTTCTGATGGCCTCAAGTGTGGCCCTGCCACTTTTGCTCCTGGCTGGCCTGAGCCACTTCCCCTCTATTTCCCCATCATAATTGTGTCACTTACAGTCTAGCATTAGCAATTGCAGAGCTGTCCTAGATTTTCAAATGCAGTGACACAGGCACTGGCAATCTGCTCATCAGGTAATGACCCAAGAAGCCGCACAAAGAAGCCTTGGTTAGCTTTTGGGCTTGTTGCTGAGATGCTGCGAAGCCTCATTTCTGCAGTATCCTCACTCATTCGGTTTTCATCTGTGGCTGTCAGGCCTCTGACGAGTACATTTGGGATCTCCACAGGTCACAGCCCTGTCACCTGGGTCCTGATGGGTTAGCAGTGACATCTTCTGGCCATTGGTGCTGGAGCACAGGGGTATTTAAAATGGAGTCCCCCTTTTGGACATGGCAAATCAAGGGTCGGTCCTCTGAATAAATGTAAGATAGAGGTTTGGGTGTGTTTTCTAAATCTCTGCACTTTGTAGTTGTTCATTAACATAGCTGTATTGTTCTCTTGTCATGCATGCACGTGCGCACACACACACACAGTGTCTCACATAACATGTCTTTGCATAAGTGTCTTTACCAGTCTTTCCAAGCATCATATAAAATTAAAGTAGGTGCCCTTCCTTCAGGTGTCTTAGCCTCCTTCCGTCATGTAGGCATCATGATAAATTCCAGCTACCTATTTGCAGGTTTCTTTCTCTCACCAGACCACGAGTGCCTTAAGGGTGCGACCTGTGTCTAGAATGTGCTTAGCACACTGTGATGCTCAGCAAATGTCTGCTGAAGGAACAAATGGATGATAGGGCAGCAAATATGATAGGACAAGCTTGGCAGGTCTTGAGTTAGTTTCCTGCAAGAGAACAAAAAGAGTTTTTAAGACTCTACCCCTTTTTTTAAAAAAAAGCCCAGAGGGGTTGAATTTTCTTCTGTTCCATATCAACAGGGAAACCCAGTTTGGGTGTATATGCTGGCTCTACCCACACTTACTTCATCTTCAGTGCTCCGTGGCTCGAAGCCCCTGTACGGGGTGGCCATGAGGTGCACTGGAGTGACTTATAACCAGGTTTTCTTCCAAGAGACCCTAGAATAGCTCCATGCCCACAGTAGCATCAGTCTTTGATGAACAACCAAATGAGCCCATTCAAAATAAAGAAATTTTGTTATATCAGGAGTCAGGATACTTCTGAAGCTAAGTGACCCATCAGCTTGCAGGCAGGGCAACAGATGTACTTGACGTGCAGCTTCTTTGACGGTCACAGGGTGGAAAGCTCCCACCCAGCAGAAGAGGATTGGGTGGGTCGATCTGAGGTAAAAACATTTCCAGGAAAAAGTGTTTAGGACAGGACAGGCCGGTGTTACATCAGCCCGCCTTGGTGCCACAGTGGGTGGGGATGAGTCGCTGGGGATGCCAGTAGTTGCCTTGCAGACAGAGCCATGGGTCACCCAGGGGTGGCCTCCCACGTCCCCATGGCCTGCCATAGCATGAGGACAGCCACAGCATGGTGCTTTCCGTGACCAGGAGGCGGAGGGCTCAGCTTGTCCCTTAGACAAGGCCTCACCTGAGACAGGCCAGGCCAATGCAGCTCTCAAAGATGTCCCAGATTTGGGGGAGGGGCTGGTTCCTCCTTTCTTAATGGGCTATGATTGTGTGCTACCTTGTTGCAAAAAAGAATTGAAGCACCTAAGGAATATCCATGTAACATATTTAGATTTAATTTAAAAGGTAAATCAGGTTGAAGGAAAAATAAAATGACTGCTCTGTTGTGGCTAGGAGGAAAGTGACTATCCAGAAAGATACACCATCAGGCCCTGCATGTTTCCTAAAGGTAGGCCTCTCGTTCAAGTTCTGAGCTTCCTGGACACTGAGGCAAATATAGAAACATGCTTCTGAAAACAGGTAGGGACCATAACATGCAGTTGTTCAGGAGCATCCCTATCTTTCTAGACTTGGGGACCCAAGAGAAGTGTCTCTGGGGTGGCCTCACCAGGAGGTGACTGAGCAGTGCTGTGGTGATGAGGTTCATGACATCCTACAATAAATACCGTCCGGACTTGCCCAGGGCTTCTGCTCCCACTAGATAGCCCTTAATACAAGAGAACGTAGCTCAGGAAAAGCGATTCCATAGAGTCAGAACAGTACAGTCCAGGTTCCCAGCTCTCGTGATCTGCTGTGAGAGAAATACAGATTGTTTAAAACAGTGTTTGCCGTTCCACAAAATTATTGTGATGTGTCTATACTCTATGACAATAAAGTAGGTGCTAGGAATATTTAATGTCTAACATTAAAAAACAGAAGGAAGAACAGTGTTGAACACATCTATGTAGTTAGCATTATGATGCATTGATCCTTAAGGGAGGATGCAGGAAGTCTGCATCCCGGCCTGCTGGGCCGGTCCCTCGCCTCTCCCCAGCCATGCGTGCTGCTGGTGCTCACACCTCCTCGTTCGCATGTGTGCTGTCCCTCCAGGGACTGCTGCTCTACACCACGTACTGGTTCTTACCCAGGATCTTTTTTTGCAGTATATACCATATATTAATTATGAATCAAATTTTTAACATTCCTTGCAGCAATGGATTTGTCTATGAGGCCATTTTTCTTATTATCTGCTTTCATCCAAACCTGTGTGGTAGCTCATGAGATTCTATCACCTGAGTGTAGTGTTGAAAGTGTTTAGTGATCAAATAAATTCGGGAGCTGCTCATTGAGAGGGATGGCTGGACCACCACCCTTGGCAGGAAAGCACCAGGGGATTCAAAGTTATGTCCTTGGGTGACGTGCTGATCAGGGCTAAGCTAGATATGTCTGATATCCCCTGCACAGACTATAGGGGAAGCTTCTTTTATGAAAACTGAGGCAACCACTAGGACCAGAGTCCAGAAGATGCCACATACTACCTCACAGAAGGGGGGCCATGGGGCCAGCGGCAGGTTAAAGATTTGACTTAAAGAACGTGAAGCACTTGTCTTTGTGTATACAATGTTACACGGGGCCACAGAGAACTTCTAAAGAGCATTGCACTTGCTGGAGAATAATTTAAAGCATTTATTTGGTGGTTGCTATCCGTCAGGCACTGTGCTAAGCCATTTGCATGCCTTATTTTCCTTAATCCCCTCCAAGGAACTGTAAGGTAGATATTATTATTATTAATATTATTATTACTCTTTACAGATGCAAAACTGAGAGCTACAAAGAAGTTAAGAAACTTTTTTTAAATAAAATTACAAGTTGAGCTGACCATAGTATTTAGCCCAGATAATAGATAATTGTAAAGTTATTTGTGGCCTTCTGGTTCTAGAATATTCTTGTGGACTTTAGGGTGGCTGGCATTCAATCAACTGTCAGTTTGGGCCAAGAGAGCTAGACACATTCATGGACTGTCCACTTCTCTTTCAGCATGTGAAGATGGATACAGGCTTGAAAATGAAACCTGTATGAGGTAGGCTTCGTGTTCATTTATTCTGATGAATTTGTTACAAACCTTATTTAGAAATTATTTAGTAAATTTGCCTCAATGATTTCTTTTGAGATTTGAAATTAATTCTTGCTATTTTTCTTTGTTGACTTGCAGTTGCCCATTTGGCCTTGGAGGTCTCAACTGTGGAAACCGTAAGTGTACAGAAGGCTTGAGTTCCGCGTGGGGAGGGTCCGTCGCCTCCTCCTCCCCGCAGTTCAGATGGCTGTTGTCTCAGCTCCTGCGCGGGGTGGTATATAGAAAGCAGAGTGTTCTCCAGGGGCTGGAGACCTCGTAGGGGAGATAAACACGTTCCTAAATAGCTCTGACTGTGGAGCGTCAATACAGTAAATTAGGTGTGAGATGTGAGGCAGGGAGGAAGGGGCCACACCCAGGAGAATAGAAGAACCTCCAGGGTTCTTCTTTGAGGGGATGGTTCTGGAGGATTTGGAAGACTTTGACTGGTATGTAGGGAGGAAGAAGAAGGAAGGAACAATTTAAGCAAAGGTCTTGGGGCAGCCTGGGCCCATGGTATTTCAGGACAGTGAGTCAGTGAGTGTGGCTGGGGACAGGAAGGTGAAGAATGAAGGACTAGGTTGGCAGAGTGTAGGGTACCAAACTGTTGGGTTTGGGATGGCCAGCCTGATAGCTGAGACTCTGGTCAGTATCCAGTGTGGAACTGGCTGGTCTTAGCACAGGAAGCAGCTTGAACAAGAAAATCAAGTCAGGCTGCAGTGAGGAACACAGATGAGGCAGGGAGAACATGGGGAGTTAGAGACTTCCAGTGCAGTCGTAGCCGGGGCTCAGGGCTCAAGACAGGCTCGCAGGCACTGCTGGCTGATGCTCACGCTCCCTGGAGTAGGCAGGGTAGGGTAGTGGTAACTGTGCATGTGGTATGTTTCACATCTAATTTAGTTCTTCAAGAAAAAGTGATTGTGATTTACTTAAGGTCACTTTCATTGACACTTTCTTACATGGATAACTGATAAATTGAAATCACCCTCAAAATTATGAAAGGTATCCTTGGATATAGGATGGAATAGGAATAATAACACTCAGTACTACATTTTAGGATAGCTTTGTCCTTTATTCTATACATAAACATGCCAACAGTCCATATTCTAAGTTTACTTAGACCAAAAATAGACATTTTAAAACTTAATGTGTATTAAAGTCCCCAGTTTCTGTTCCTTGGTGGTGTACCTTGCATTTTACATCCTCAATATTTTCTTTGCTCATAAAGCTTTCTTTTAGTAAGTTTCATTATGTACTTTTTAAAATATATATAAATAGTAAATTAAATAAAGTAAAGCAAATTCAGTCCTGACTATAAAACTGACAACACACTCCCTTGGGGTGTTCAGCATGGAGCCACTCTCAGGCCAGACTCTAGAGATTCAGAATCACATATCCATCTAGGGTTACTGGTGACTTTGGTCATCCGCTTTATCTTGACGGCAAACTAGCAAGAGGTTACAGTAGACAACCTATGAGAAAGACTAGGGAAGTACTCCTAGAAGCAACTATATTTAGAGTCATGCTGAATAGAGAGAGATGAGACCACAGAATTAATATTTGCTTTATTAAAAAGTAGCAACCTGAAGCCACTAAGTGGTGGAGTAAATAACCCCGTCATCATTAGTAGTCCCTAAGGACACCATGGTGCCATGAAACAACTGAAGTACAATCATCTATTATGATGGACCCACGTCATCATGCACCAAAGGCTGTTCTGTGTTACTGTGAACTGATTTTTGCTCACAACACTTCTAACATCAAATATGTGGGGGGTTTCCTCACACCAAGCAGTTCTGACAGTCTCCAGAGTTACTCCAGACCTCACAGGTCTCATTCCCACAAGACTGACCCCACTTCAGACACCAGTCTCAAATCCAGGCCTCCAGCACTTATGACCAACTAGCTATAAATTAGAGGTTCCCTTAACCCCCTCATCAGGTTCAGTAATTTTCCGGAATATAGGACATCCTTAAACTGACCAGAGGGAAGAGGAGCTTGCACATAAGAATAAACCAGAGAAAGGCTAGGACATTTCAATATGGAAAACGGAGGCTGAGGAGTCAGGCAAAACATAGAAGATACTGAAGACTTCCAGTCAAGATGGCAGCATAGGCAGACATAGCTTGCCTCTTGACACAACCACATCAAGATTACAACTAAAATATAGAACAAACATCACTTAGAACCATCGGAATTCAAGTTTAATAGGTCTGACAACTACACAGTTAAAGAAACCACATCCATCCGGACTAGTACAAGAGCTGAAGACGCGGAACAGGCTGGTCTCGCATCCACCTATGGTGGATAAAAATTCAGGAGGGATATCTTGGGAGCGAAGAGTCTCAGCCCCACATCAGGCGCCCCAGCTCAGCGGTCCAGTGCCAGAAAGATAAGTCCCCACAATTTCTGGATGCAAAAAACAGCAGGAACTGAGTCAGTGGAAAAAACTGCTGGAGTCCCAAGCAGCTCCTCTTAAAGAACCAACACACAGACTTACTCAGACTCACTCCCTCTGAGCTCCCACACTGGGGTAGTAGCTTGAAAGACACCAGAGGCATATGGGGAGGAATTGAAGTGTCTGGCATCAAGGCAAGAGCTGGAAGACAGTTTTTTCTCAGCCAGAAAGGCAGGCAGTGGCCATTGTCCCTTTCAGAGTACTCCTCCCACAGAGCCAACAGCTGGTGTCATATCTGAGCCTCCATCAACCTGGCTAACACTGTCTGCCCCACCCTGGAGATCACCTGAGGCTCCGTCCCACCCAACTTACAGGCCCACACAAACTGTGAACTGTGAATTTTCCATATGAATGGCAGGCCCTGTCTCACGCTTCACAGCTTCCTAAATCCTACCAGATAAGCAACAACTGGCCTCAGTGAGCGCCCAGCCCCCTGTACCTCTTGCGAAGTGGCCACAGGTCTGGCATTAACAGCAGCCAGCCTAGATTCACAGTTTGGTTTTGCCTGGGAATCTCCAGACCCAGCACATGTAGCAGCCATCGTAGATTGGTTTAGCTCGTACAGTGTGGCCCCAGGAAGAACACAGGCAGGTGCTGACCTTGGCCTGTGCCACCTGGGAAATCTCAGAGCCTGCACACCCAGGGGATAACTACAGACCACATCAGAGCACCACCACCCTGCCCCTGCACAGCTGATCTTCCACAGAGGGCAAAGGTTGGTGGTCAGTGGTCACAGCCAATTTTTGCAGCTGACTGGCTTGGATAAATCCCTCCCATTGACCTGCAAAGAGCAACCAAGGCTCAACAACAAGAGGAGGGTGTACTCAGTCCACATGGAGGGTGCACCTCGAGTATCCAGCTTGGGTGATCTGAGAGGCTGTGCCACTGGACCCTACAGGACACATGCTACATTAGGCCATGCTACCAAGACAGGGAGTTATAGTAGTTCTACTTAATACATAGAAACAAGCACAGGGATGCTTCCAAAATGAGCAGACAAAGAAACATGGCCCAAATGAAAGAACAGACCAAAACTCCAGAAAAATGGAGACAAGCAATCTGTCAGATGCAGAGTTCAGAACACCTCAAAAGAACAAAAAAAGATCCAGTCAGAAATGAAGGATATACCAATTGAAATCAAGAACAATTTACAGGGAACAACAGTAGAGTGGATGAAGCTGAGAATCAAATCAAATGATTTAGAACATAAGGAAGCAAAAAACAACCAATCAGAACAACAAGAAGAAAAAAGAATCCCAAAAAACAAGGATAGTGTAAGCAGCCTGTGGGACAACTTCAAGTGTTCCAACATTTGCATCATAGGGGTGCTAGAAGGAGAGAGAAAGAGCAAGAAATTGGAAATCTATTTGAAAAATCATGAAAAGAAACTTCCCTAATTTGATAAAGGAAATAAACATGTAAGTCCAGGAAGCACAGAGTCCCAAACAAGAAGGATGCAAGGAGGCCCCCTCCAAGATACATCATAATTGAAATGCCAAAGGTTAAAGATAAAGAGAGAATCTTAAAAGCAGCAAGAGAAAAGCAGTTACCTGCAGGGGCATCCCCATAAGACTGTCAGCTGATTTCTCAAAAGAAACTTTGCAGGCTAGAAAGGATTGGCAAGAAATATTCAAAGTCATGAAAAGCAGGGACCTATCCAAGATTGCTCTACTCAGCAAAGATACCATTTAGAATGAAAGGACAGATAAAGTGCTTCCCAGACAAGAAAAGAAGTAAAGGAGTTCATCATTACCAAGCCCTTATCATATGAAATGGTAAAGGGACTTATTTAAGAAAAAGAAGATCAAAACTATGAACAACAAAATGGCAATAAATACATATCTTTCAACAATTGAATCTAAGAAACAAACTAAGTAAACAAGAAGAACAGAGAAAAGATCATGGATATGGAGAGTGTTTTGATGGTGCCAGATGGGAGGGGACTGTTGGGGAATGGGTAAAGATGTGAGGGGAGTTAGAAGTACAAATAGGTAGTTACAGAATAGCCATGGGGATGTAAAGTACAGCACAGGAAATGGAGTAGCCAAAGAACTTAGATGCATGACCCTTGGCCTGAACAACAGTGGGAAGATTGCCTGAGGGAGTTGGGGGTACTGGATGGAAGGGGTCCAAGGGGAAAAAATTGAGACAACTCTAATAGCACAATCAATAGAAAATAATTTTTAAAAATGAAAAAAAAGAAAAAAAAGAAGAAGAAGAAGAAGATACCTGAGACCCGTTCACCAAATGCTGGAATGCTAGATCTAAATGGTATAGTCTTTCAGAAGAGGTGGTTTTAGGGCTCACAGTAGTGATTGCACCACAGCCTGCAGACCTTGATCCTAGGATGTTAGAAGTATTAAAAACAGAGATGCTTAGATAGTATAATTAATAGAGAATAATTTAAGTGAGGGAGGAGTTACAACAGAGTTGTATCACATTTGCCAGGAACTTCTTGGAGTACAGTCCCATCAGATGGGAAAGAAAGAATGAATGAGCAAGACAGGTGAGGCACCTTGGCCTGGCGGGGCGCCTCAGTTGGTTGGAGCTTTGTCCCATCCACCAGAAGTTTGGGGGTTTGATTCCTGATTGGGACACATATGGGAAGCAACCAATTGATCGATGTTTCTCTCTCTCCCCCTACTTCCCCTTCCTCTCTCACTAAAATCAATAAACATATCT